CTGCATTAATCAGTAATGGGTAGATGAAGTTTTCTTGGCTCTATTTATCAAAATAAACATAAAGCTAGCAAGTAACTTAAAGATAAGAAAATCAGACAGTACTGGATTATGTGAGCCCAAATCTACTGCAAAGAAGTTTCTATGCCCCGTTGGCAGTCACAGTTCTAATCTCACATGGCTGCTGGTTTGAAGTGGCAATTTATTTCCTCTGTTTCTTTTCTGGCTTGAGAGATGCCAGTGAGTTCTGATGAGCCATCACAATCACAAGTGCTATGTTGGTGTTTTGTTCCTCAGTTACCTATTTGTGTAGAATGGAGTTCAGTTTTACCTTACACTTCATTCTACCTGTGTAGAATGGAGTTCAGTTTTACCTGACCTCATTACAGATTGGTAATCTGTGAAGAAGTAATGTGTAAATGGAATCATTCATAACCAGTGGCACAAAGTCCACGTGGAGGCTGGTCATGAGTGGTGTATCCCAAGGGTTGATGTTGGTGCCAGTATTGTTTAAAGTCTTTATTAATAACATAGATGGCACAATGGAGTGCACGCTCAGTAAGTTTGCAGACAGTAAGTGGGGGGAGTGCCTAATGCACCAGCTGATTGTGCTGATGTTCAGAGGGATGTGGGTAGATTGGAGAAATGGGCTGACATGTAGCTCCTGAAGTTTAGTATAAGGAAAAGTCAAGCCCTGCACCTCTGGAAGAATAATCCCAAACCTTAGTGCAACTTGTGGTTCCAATGTCAGAGAAATGGCTTTGCAGAAAAGGACCTGTGGGTAGCGGTGGACACCAGGCTGACCTTGATCCAAGATTGGGTCCTTGCCTCCTGGGCTGCATTAGGAAGAGAGTAACTAGCAGCTTGAGGGAAGTGATCCTTCCCCTCAGCCTTTGTGAGATCAAATCTGGAGTGCTGCATTGTGCGCTAGGCTCCCCTATACAAGAGGCATACTGGAAGGAGTCCAACAAAAGGGCACAAAGATGACTAAGAAATTGGAGCACTGAACTCATGTGGAGAGGCTGAGAGATCTGGGATTGTTCAGCCTGGAGAGGAGAAGGCTCAGGTGGATCTTATTAATGTGTACAAATACCTGACAGGAGTGTGAAAATAAGATGGAGCCAGATTGTTCTCAGTGATGCCCAGTGATGGGGCAAGAGGCAGTGGGCACAAACCAAAACTGGAAAATCCATTTAAACATAAGAAAAATTTTCTTATTGCGAGGGTGCCCAAATGTTGTAACAGGTTACCTGAAGAAGCTGTGGGGTCTCCAGTCTTTGAGATAGTAGAAATCCAAGTTCATAGCCCTGAACAACTTGCTAAGTTACTTGTCTTTTGGGGGGAAAGGGGCTGTGGTGGGTGTCAAACTTGACGACTCCTAGAAGTCTCTTCTAGCTTCAGTGATTCTGTGACCTGGATATAATCAGAAAAATCCCCAATGTATGCACCACCCCATAAAACTTGTGCTTTTATAATAAGAATAATGCCATGGCAGAGTCCTGCTTTTCTGGAATATCCCACTAGTCAGTTGCTTCCTCTCAAAAAGAATCCCTGATGAAATCTGAGGAGCATACAGTTACAGGAACAGCTGTTTTATCTGTGAGTAGTCCTCCTGCTCTCATAATTATGCTATTAGCCAAGATAGCTCTAACTTAGTTTCTTGAGGCATATTACTTCCACTTCTTGATAATCATGGACAGGCTATTCATAATTCATGGATATATCTTGAATACCTGTCAGATTAGCCTCTTGAGATGGTAGATATCTAACATTCTGTCTCTCTCCTAAAAATAAATTATTTGTAAATTTTCTTCTTTTGGAAAGGAGAGAGAATGCACCTTCACACAATTGTGAGATTTGGAGATTTACCAAATCACTGGGGATGATAAGTGAACATAAATTCAGCATTTGCTGATGAAAATAGATGAAAATCTATTCAAGGGTCTTCCCTTCTTCCTGACTTAACTTAGTATTTGCCACTTCTCTATTCCTTGGGTGTCTCTCTGTATCCTGTGTTAATATAGTCAGATGTGCACAAGTGTTCCTTCTTTTCTCCAGGATACCTGTCCATTAGGTGATCCAGTGAATTCACTTGTGAATAGCTTACAAATTTGTTTTGATACTGAGGTCTCCTTTTGTTTATCTTGAATGTGATTTATATAAAGTTGCAGATGGGAACTTGGCTGGACTTTCAAAAGCAGGACTGTGAATCCTGAGGAGCAGAAAGCTTTGAAGGACATTGTCCAAAATTGCTTGCTCATAGCTGCCCAGGATGTGTGGGAGCATTCCAAGCTCTAGCATTCTCTGCCTGTTTAACTACTCCTCCATTTCCAAGGCCAATTTTTGAGGAAGTTGCAATATAAAATACTGTTGGCACAAACTAATTTTCTGGCACAAACTAATTTGCAGTCATTTGGCTTCTATTTCCAGTGAAGCGAGCAGACTATAATTAGTAGCAAGCATATGTCTTTAAAAAAAATAATTGACTTTGTAACTATGGTGAAAGGCTGGCATGGATATTATTAATATATAAAAATTATTCAGATTGTGCCTTCAAATATAAAAACGTATTTGATATGAGAAGTTACAGAGATCTCCCCTATTAAGAACAAGCTTTAGTTGGTAAGAAATTCTGTCTGAAACAAATGAAAGAATCCAGTGGTACAGACTGGGTGAGGACCTGCATCTTCTTATCTCCTAGCCTCTGGTCTGGACCAGGAGAGGTGGCCACCTTTTAACCAGCTCCAACAATGTTTTTGCTGTGCAGGCATTTGTCTGTATTTACAGTGAATTCAGAGCATGCTTCCACTGCCAGTCCAAACAAATGGCTCTACTGAGAGCTGACACTATGCAGAAGTACTGGCTGAAACCCTGCAAGCTGGCTTCATCTTCCACCCCTAAAGCAATACAGAGGAGGGAAAAAACAACCCTACAGCTTTCAGGCCCTCTGTGCTGGGCTAGGTGGCCTTCCTGGCTCCTGTATTCTTGGGGCCTTCTGCCGATGCTGCAGGTGTGTTGCAGATATGCCATCAGGCAGCCTGCTCACTGCAGTCAAGTCATGTAGTGGTGCCATGTGGTGGGAAGTGCTGGTCCCCCAGTATGGCTGGGGCTTGGCGGGAATTCACTGTTGCTGTTTGGTTCCTCTTTGACATATGCAAACTGCAAATGACCCTGAAGCAATTACCCTTACTTTATTACACAAAATATCCACTACTGAAGTAATGCCTTTGATAGTAGTTTATAATAATTTGTCAAAGGCATTTCTATTCTCTCTGCTTTATGTTGAAATTGCTGATAATTTGTGTGTAGTTGCTTTCACCATACCCAAAATGCGTAAAAAGATGAAGAAGAATCCAGGAAGCCTTTCAAATTGGTTTATGCCTTTTGTTTTAAGGTTACCACTTTCTGTTTATGATTTCAGAGAGCAGTCCTATGGACTGTCACTGTGTTACCACTCTTCTAGATAATTACTTGCCTTAAGATACTGCTTTCAGAAGGAGGGTGATATTTCCAATACCTTATTTTTAAAGACCTGCAAAATTAACCCTTAGATTTCTGCTGAGCCTCACACATATCAAATATAGAACTGTGAGAAAATGCTGCAAATTTGATCTGAGTTACTCCCACTCTCTGCACTGCAATTACTGTTGTCTGCCTCTAGGAAGAGAACTAGCTCTGCTGGAGCAACATCTGCATTGCTAGTGTTCTGTAATACCCATCTTGTATGCTGGTGGCATGCTAGAATAAATTGATCTGGTCCATGCACAGATTTACTTCTTAGTGAAAAAAGTTTAATTAAGAAGATCAGTTAATTTAAAGTCATTAAAAAAACCTTAACATATTGTTGTAAATTTATTAGTGCTAAGAAGCTTGTTACATGTTCAAGCCTGCTTACATACATATATAGTGATGTATGAACCTATGTTACCTTTGTTTATAGTATTCTTTGCTGATATAAAAAGTGTGCAATAGGCATGAAACCTGCCCATTTTTATTTTGATGGAGTTGGCCTCTATCTTTGTCATTCCTCTGCTGTTATAGTGAGTGCAAGTTTTAGCCAAAATAGAGGATGAAAGTCTGAGAAAGTCAGCATTTTTAGAGCACAGTGGGACCGTATTCGCTTTGAATGCTAAAGGAGGGAAAGACATGCCTCTCATATTGCCTAGTTTCTCGTCTATTTACAGGTACAACACAGCTTCAGTCTTAATTTCAGTTCATATTATTTCTAGTAGCTGCCTTCCACTTTTTACCTCTTAAACAGGACACTGACACATTTATGAGTTGGGGATTTCCTTGTTATGTGTCGTACTTTCAGGCTCTGATACATCATATGTAGAGAAAAAAAAGTTTATAAAGTAGATATTTGGAAAAATCTGTGGGAACTGGTTAGACAAGCATCTGAATTGGGTACATTTCCATTCCATCACTCCTGAGCAGGGTGGTTTCAGGTACTGGATGACCTAATGCTCCCTCCCAGCTTTTCTTTCCTCTCATTCTCATTTTAGATCCTAATAAGCAATACATTTCATCCAGAATTTCATCTTTCTGGCAGTGGAGATTCGTGGTTTGTTCTCTTAACAATGTGTCTGTTACTTCACTTGGGATTAAAATGTTATTCATGTTTTCAGTGGAGGTGGACAACTAAACAAAAAATTAACCAGATTCATAATTGCTGTAAATTTGCTTTGTTCCACTGACTTCTAAGCAGTAATGCCAATTTCACACCATGTAAGGATGTGAACCAGTATTTCATGTGCACAAAAACATACATTAAAGACAAGGCTTTCAAGTGAGTAGGTAATAGAGGTGGGCATTTCTGGAGGCTGACAATGCTATACACACAAAACCATTTGCTTATATTTTTTAATATGTTATCAGATGGGGTATGCATATATATTTGAACTTTTTGAAGTGACAAATTATAACATCCTTAGAAATTAAATGTGATGCTTAAGAAAGTTACTGAGTGTTAATGGATTTCTTCATTTGTTTTTTTTATATAGTGGGTTTCATTCTAAAGCAATTCAGGAAAACAACAGAAGAAGCTACAAATGTTTTGTGAATATTAAGATGAAGTTCCAGAAGAACTAATGAGTATGTAATTGGAAACACAAATTTGCATACAAATTTGAACGTGATATTTCAAAGCTTGCAAACATCAAAGTGTATTAAAATGACAAGCTACCCATGCCAATGTACAGTTTTTATTTTAAATGGATGAAAGAATAAAATATAAAGGATTTACTTGTGAGATGGCTAATTATATCAAATCGCTTTAGGCAAGAGGCAACGTCAAGTCATCGTGACAGCATTTACTTTGCTTTTTTTTCCTGTTATTGTATGCAATTTCTGTGTACCTTGGGGGTCAGAGAAGTGAAATATGTCAGGCATATTAAGATAATAGAGAGTCACAGCTTTCTGTTTAGCAAATAATAGGGGCATGCTTTACTCCTACTTTGAACTCCAGGCAAATGCACATCATCTTAATCATTCATGGAATCATCTTAATTTCATTCATGGGGCATAGTAGAAGCTATCTCATCTCTGCTTTGCTAACCTAAAACTGCAAGAAGCTGCTCTGGCTGTGAGTGATAAACTCTGCAAGTTCCTGAGTAGAGAAGTGCTATGCTGAAGGGAAACCAGGGTTAGGTATCAGCTCTTTAAGCACCACACAGTGCACATCGATGCTGCTGCCCCACATGACTTCACTGTGACCAAGACTTCATCCCCTGACCTCTCTGACTCTTACATTTGCCTACTCAAGTGGAGAAATGGGAAGCCAGTATGGGTTCAGGGTTATACTGTTCCATTCATATGTTCTCATGCTGAGCTCGTACTGCTGCAATTGGCTGTGTGAGCAACCTGGCTCATGTCACACTAACTTGGGGTTTTCTGCACCATATTTCATTACTACCTGCCACTTTCTTGGTATGTCCTGCTTTGCATCAGGAATATTACTTTCACTTGGGAGCTAGAAAGGCTGTTACATCTGGCTAAGTAAAACATGCAAGTGATATATGAAATGAGTAAGTGGTAATATCTAGTTTTTAACTGGCACTTGGATGTGCAAAGTAATTGTCTGTGTACGTGGGGAGAACTAAAAAAAATTGTGCAGAAAAGTAAAAAATAAATAGTGATGGGCTTTTAAAGTCAGTCAAGAATGTCAGTCAGATTCCTCACATCTGCAGAGGACAGCAGGTCATGACAAGGATTCTTATTAGTGTGTATTTTCTGTAGTTTTCAAATACAACTGCACCTGAGAGTTCAGCAGGTCTAGTGGTATAATGCATGGCAGCAATTTAGCAGCTCTGTAAGAAAAGCATGGATCAGTGCTCCTCTCTTGTATTCCAAACAGAAATATATCAGAGAAATTCAATACTAATACAGAAGGATTCTTACAGATTGACTTTGTCTATTTACTGACCTTTGGCAATGAGTCTTTGTGAGAGAGTCTGTATAAATATATATATATCTACATGAGACAGCACCTCGTGCTGACAAAAAGCCCGACAGTCAAGGCTATACAAGGCCAGCTCTTTTCTGCACCTGCCTAGTAAGAGACAACAGGATGAAAGTGAAGATATTAACATGAAGATTTGCCATAAAAAAAGTCTATTTCAGCAAAATTGTAGCAATAGGACAAGGGGTAATGGGTGTAAACTGATACAGGAGAAGTTCAGGTTAGATATAAGGAAAAAGTTCTTTACTGTGAGGGATTGAGACCCTGGAACAGGTTGCCCAAAGAAGTGCTAAATGCTCCATCCATGGCATTGTTCAAAGCCAGGCTGGACAGAGCCTTGGGCAACATGGTCCAACATGAGGAGTCTCTGCTCACGTCAGGGGGATTGGAATTAGATGATCTTAAGGTCCTTTCCAACCCTAACTATTCTGTGATTCTAAAATGCACTAAGTGTACATCAGATAAAGTGAGTGCTAGCTCTAATTATATGAGACTTTGCCTGCATAGAAAGGTTGTTGGTTTAGAACTGCTTCCATTCCTATCAGTGACATATGGGGTTTAGCTAGAGTAGAAGGTTCCTGTTTTTTTTTGCTCTGGCAGTCTTGTATAGGGCTTTAAAAGCCTGTAGGATTTCAGGTAGCAAAATGCTAAGCACAGGGTTAGTTAAGCTAGTATGTTATAAGATAATTGAACTAGAGTGAATCTAAGTACGTGTTTAAAGTCCAGGCCAGGTGAAAATGGCTACTCGAGTCAAATCATGTTGCTTGTCCTTGAATTATATGAAACTAGTAGCAGGAATTATGTAAAGCAGTGCTTGCAGGGTAGAACTTAATATCCTTCAAAGCTCTTCATAGCATTATGCCTAAACTAGCAATTTTGTATTCATTTTATTAATGCTTAATTTTCAAAGAAAAAAATGTTAAAAGATCAGAATTAATATATGATTTATTGAGTTAAAAAAAAAAAAGAGATGCCATTAGGTATAAGAAGACAACAATGTAGGAACTACTGTCTTGTAATCTTCATGGAGCTATGTCCATCAGGGCTCTCCAGCACAGCTCTGGAGTAATTTATAGAGAGAAGAAGTAACTACATAAGGCTAAATCCCATGATACTTTAAAAAAAAAAGAAAAAAAGAAAAAGAAAAAAAGAAGCCATGTAGCATGCAGAGCAGGAAGCTTTGACAGAGTTAGCTCCCTAAGTTTCCTTAGCATACTGGTCTCAGTAATAGGAAGTTGCTGGAGGAGTCAGATGCTCCTTCAGGATGCTGCATCCTCTGTGGAAGAGCAGTTCCCCTATAAAGGTGGGTACTTGCCACATGACTACAAAGGTCTTCAAGATGCTGCAATCCATGCCCTGCACCAACCCAAACATCCCCATACAGCTGAAATAGATGTTTTTCTGCCATGAGCTGTAGCTCAAAATGGCTGAGTTGGAGCAAAGTGCACATTTGTTTGAGCTGAACATCACGAAGCAATCTCTGCCAAGGAAATATGTTGAGGAAACTGTTTGAAGGGCATGGAACTACCAATTTTCAGGAATTTTAAAAAGACTAGATAAAATACTGCAGAATATATGGAAGAGAGAAATGTCCTGTCAAGGTGACACAGATAACCAAATGTATTTCTTTCATCTCTAAACTTATGAGACACTCTGTTATTTTCCATATTTAGTATATTGTAGGCTATCAAAGCCACACAGAATCAGTGTAATAAGAATGAGTGCTTTTCAGAGCTTGCCCCAAACCTAAAATAGTTGTGGTAAGGGGTACTTCTAGTAGCTGCTGATGAACATTTTGACTGAATTGTTCCATGGGATTTATGTGGGTGTCTTTTTTTGCTTGTATTTTGCACATAAATTGACCACTGTTTTCCCTAATCTTTTAGCAAAGGTTCTGGAACTTTTAAGCAGAAGGAAAATGGGAGTTTGAAGGTGATTTTGTTCATTTCTGTAGTTCTTTTTCTCCTCCAAAGTAGGAAGTATAGTCCTTGTATCCTAGGTGTGATTTGGGGAATGGCCAGTTGGCTGGAACACATCTGATCTACTGCTTTTCCCTGGGGCCTCTTTCATGGTACTGAATCCACGTGTGAAGGGGGAGGGTCTGGTGGGTGGGTGCTGTACCCAGATGTGGCCAGACCTAGGAGCTGCTAACTTGCCTTTGTACGACTGGGGTAGGTATCCTGGTATTCTGTGCCCACCTAGAAAAATACTGAACTATGCTGGTCTAGCCCTGCTGGAAGGCAGAAGACAGAAAATGGATTCTTTACTCAAATTTTGTTTCCTAATATAAAGTAAAAAGGGTCGTACTTAGTATCATAGTATTTAGTATCAATTGTTAGTGTCATAAATCTAGTCTTCCACAAGAGAAATACCAAAAAATGGGTTTGATGGTGAATATTTTGATAACTGCCTGAGCTGAAAGGTTGGACTGCTGTATTGCTTCTCATTGCTTTATACAACAGTCAGCCACAAACGCATTAGTCACCTGCAGTCACTACAGTGCCAGTGACCCTGCATCTTACTCCCAGAGCAGGGAACTAAGCAGGGTTTGTATCATAAGAAATTGTACCCCTCTTCAGTGACACAAAGCAGATTTTGCTAGCAAGAAACTTGCATATGTAGCAAGGTGCTGTAAGCAAACTAGACATGCTTTCCTTCCAGTTTTACAAGTTTCCTTTCCCATAACCTCCCAACTTTAGAATGTTGCAGGTGTGAGTGTCCCATGCACATGCTGAGTCTAAGGTACTCCCTGCCATTGTTAATGAGCGCTCAAAACTCCAGCTCCTCTCACAAGGAGTCACAAAATAGGTTTGCTTGTTGGATTACATCTCCCCATCATTTAGTGGACTTCTTTGGCAGGTTTTTATAAAAAAAAAAAGTTATATGAGCCCTACCAGTTTGTGTACCTAGGTCTCAGTTCATCGCAAGTTACAAGGGTGTTGAAAATTTCTCTCACAGCTAGGTTAATATTGATGCTAAACATTACCTACAACCTATTTTTAATTTCTGTTATAAAACTGTTGATGGGATGGCTGATGAAAATTATTAGACTCCTTTTCTGTGGATAACTACCATCACATGCTTTAAAAAAAAAAGTAAGATAACACCTTCTAAAGTATAACACCTATTACAGAATGCAAGAGATGTCTGTCAGTAAGCCAGCCACCTGTGAGGACCATTATGAAACAGATGGTGAAGAAACAATTTAGCCAAAAAGTCAAAATCATGGCATAATCCTGGAAAACATCACCTAATGTTTATTATTACAGTAGTGATGACCCCCAGTCATTTCTGCATTCATGGTTATTTGTGCTTGCCTTTTTGAATGAAATACTTGTTATGGAAAGGTGCTTTCTGGCATGTGGAAGTGTGAAAGAAAGTTGCTGCAACATGAATTAGTCCATTTTCATCGAAATAAACCACTGACTTTCCCTGTTACTGTTTGTATTCTGCATATAGAGTGATCTGTTATAGTGAAACAGATGTTGTCTGTTGAAAATTAATATGCAGAAAGGTATAATTTCTTCATGGTACAGTTTCAGGTTGATTTGGAGATAATTGCGTATACAAAGCAATCCATTTGCAGTGCTTGCTTTAAAATCAGCTCAGTCTGTCTTGCTTAGGTCAGTTGGGAGGATTGATGTGAGAACTCTCAGTTTTCTCTCGGTATTTGCCCTGGGAAATCTAGTGAAGACTAAGTAGACTTTCCTAGTCTAAAGCTAATG